GAGTGGCAGCTGGGGGGAAACCCTGCCCCCCAACCCTTCGGGAACCCAGTTCTTCTGGTTTCCGGTCCCTGCTTCCCACACAGAATCTTTGGGGGGCAGGCATCACCTGGCTCTCCCAGCATCTTGCCAGGGAACCAGGCACAAAGCACAGGTCAGGGGAGGGTTGACCTTTCCCACCTCCACTCTCAGACCCCTTGGGGGTCTGATCTCTCCTTGTCTGCTCCCCTCCTGTGCTCGCATTTGGGGGTTCCAGGCCCCCAGCCTTCCCTCAGTCCACTTGTGCCCCACCATACATTTCTTTCTTTTTTTTTTTTTGAGATATAGGTCTTCCCTTCAGTCGCCTACGGCGGAGAAGCAGTGGTGGTGTGATCTTGGGCTCACTGCACTCTCACCTCCCAGGTTCAAGCAATTTTCTCCTAGCCTCAGCGTCCCAAGTAGGCTGGGATTATAGGCTTGCACCACCACACCTGGCTAATTTTTAGGCAGAGATGGGGTTTTCTCCATGGTTGGTTAGGCTGGTCTCAAAACTCGACCCCTCAGGTTGATCCAACCCACCTCAGCCTCCCAACGTGCGGGGGGGATTACAGGCATTGAGCCACCATGCCCGCCAATTTTGTATTTTTTTTTCTTCAGTTAGAGATGGGATTTTCCACCATGTTGGCCAGGCTGGGGTCCTTGAACTTCCTGGACTTCAGGTTTATCTGCCCACTCAGCCTCCAAAGTGCTTAGGGATTAACAGGCGGAGCCACATGCCTGATCACCAAATGTTGGCTTTGTTCTGTAGAAGAAGGTTTTTTTTGTTTTTTTTTTTTTTTTTTTGAGAACGGAGTCCTTGCTCTGCCGCCCGGGCTCTGCAGTGCAGTGCGGTCTCGCTCACTTGCAAGCTCCTCCTCCCGGAGTTCCGCCATTCTCTGCTCCAGCCTCCCGAGTAGGCATGGGACTACAGGCGCTGCCACCTCGCCCGGCTAGTTTTTTTATTTTAGTATTTTTATTAATACGCAGGACGGGTTTCACCCTGCTTCAAGCCAGCGATGGAGTCATCCGATCTTCCGACCTCGTGATCCGCCCCGTACTCGGCCTCCAACAGCTGCTGGGATTACAGGCTTGAGCCACGCGCCCCGCGCCAGAGAGGTTTTTTTAACATTTCCTTCCTTGGGATTTTTTTTTTTTTTTTTTTGAAACAGGGCCTTCATCTGTTGCCCAGACTGGGAGGCAGTGGCCTCGATCTCAGGCTCATTGCAACCTCAAACTCTTGGGCTCAAGTGATCCTCCCACCTCCGCCTTTCTGAGAAGCTGAGACCATCAGGCGCACGCAACATCCTGGCTAATTTTTTTTTTTTTTTTTTTTTTTTGAGACGGAGTCTCGCTCTGTCACCCAGGCTGGAGTGCAGTGGTGCGGATCTTGGCTCACTTACAGCTCCGCGCGATCTTGGCTCACTACAAGCTCCGCCTCCCGGGTTCATGCCATTCTCCTGCCTCAGCCTCCGGAGTGGCTGGGACTACAGGCGTGTGTGACTAAGTTTTGTGCGTGTGTGTGTGTGTATTTTTAGTAGAGACGGGGTTTCACCGTGTTAGCCAGGATGGTCTTGATCTCCTGACCTCGTGATCTGCCCACCTCGGCCTCCCAAAATGCTGGGATTACAGGCATGAGCCACTGTGCCCACCCATGCCTGGCTAATTTTTAAATTTTGTGTAGAGACAGGGTCTCGCCATGTTGCCCAGGCTAGTCTCGAAATCCTGGGCTCAATCTCTCCTCCCGCCTCGGCCTCCCAAAGTGCTGGGATTACAGGCGTGAGCCACCGCGCCCAGCCCAGCCCACCCCACAGTCTTATAGTGAATGAGTTTGGATATAAATTGGGGAACAAAAGTCATTTTGCTCAAGAAGGGCACAAAAACAAGGAGCAGAGGTGTCAAGTGTGTTAGAAGAACCCCCAAAGTACAGCATGTTCACACATAAAGCAGAGGTAGTTTCTAGGCTCTGCTAAAACGTAAAGGAGCTTCTCCCCTTCAAGGGTGTTTGCTGGGGCTTGAGCAAGTTATTAGGGACCCAGGACAGCTCTCCTTGTGTGCAACAAACCTGTGCATTGCTGGACACTGGGGCCTCCGAGCTCTCGCCCCATAAATGCAGGTAGTGCCTGTATCATAACATCCCAGAAAGCCCGCACATTTCCCCCATGCCGCCTGTTGAGACTGCTCTACTGCCTGCCCCCCACAGCTGCCCAGAGCTAAATTTCCAAGAGAACCTCTCACTCTTGCCCCAGGGGTCCAGCCTCCCCCAGGAACCAGGGGCATTGGCCCCCAGCCTCAATGCCTCTCTCTCCCCAGGAAACCCTGGAGGACCTGGACAGAAACAAAGATGGCTATGTCCAGGTGGAGGAGTACATTGGTGAGTGGGCCCCAATTTCTCCCCGGGATGCCTGTCCTCTCTCAGGCATGGGCAGCGTTGGTGGGGGCAGCCGGAGGTACATCACCCATCGTCAGAGCATTGGCCCTCAGACATGGGGGCAGGGGCACTCACTGCTTGAGTTCATGCAGCCACCCAACATTTATTGAGCACCTACTGTATACCAGACAGCAAAAGCATCTATTGAGCACCTGCTGTGTGCCAGGCCCAGGAAACACTTACTGAGCACCTACTGCATACAGGTGGTTGAGGCTGCAGCACACAATAACACAGACAAAGTCCCTTCTTGGAGGTCTGGAGTTTCTACAAAATCAAGGCTCAGGGGCTATGTTTAGTTGAGGAGGGGGGTCAGGAAGCTGGTCTTGAACCTGCGTCTGCACAGCACTGTGTTTCCTGTTACATGAGATGTTGGGCAGACCCTCACAATACCCCCTGAGTTCTCCCTGGGCCCCTGCCACTGTCCTTGCCCATAGTGGGCAAAAAACTTAGTCAAGGAGAAAGCTAACAAGGAATTATTTTTTTTTTGAGACAGAGTTTTGCTCTGTTGCCCAGGCTGGAGTGCAGTGGCATGATCTTGGCTCCCTGCAACTTCCTCCTCCCAGGCTCAAGAGATTCTTCTGCCTCAGCCTCCCAAGTAGCTGGGATTACTGGTGGCCTGGCCCACACGCCTGGCTATCTTTTTTGTTTTTTAGTGGAGTAGTGATTTCTCGACCCATGTTTGCCAAGGCTGGGTTGGAACTCCCGACCTCAGGGTGATCTGCCCATCTTGGCCTCCCAAAGTGGTGGGATTAGGCCATTGAGCACCACGCCCTGGGCGGGAATTTTTTTGTAAGTCGCAACATTGGTTTTATTGTTTTATTTTCTGACCATATCCTGCATGAGAAATGTTTTCTTTTTTTTTTTTTGTTTTTGTTGAGGACGGCCAGTGGGGTCTTTGCTCTGTTGCCGGCTGGAGCTGGCCAGTGGGCGCCGCCAACTCGGCTCACTACAAGCTCTGCTCCTGGGGGTTTGTACCACCATTCTCCATTGGCCTCGCCCTCCGAGTCGCTTGGGACTACAGGCGGCCCCGGCCCACGTCGGCCCAGCTGGTTTTTTGGTACCTTAGTAGGAGACGGGGTTTCACCGTGTCAGCCAGGATGGGTTCGATCTCCTGACCTGTGTTGATCCGGCCGTCTCGGCTCCAAGTGGCTGGCACTCACAGGGCGTGAGCCACCGCGGCCCGGCTTCTTTCTTCTCTCTTTTCCTTCTTTCTTTCCTTTCTTTCTTTCTTTTCTCTTTCTTTCTTTTCTTTCTCTTCTTCTGTCTCTCGTCTCTTTCTTTCTTTTTCTTTCTTTCTTTTTTTTTTTAGACGGTCTCGGGCGCTGTGTCACCCAGACTGGAGTGCAGTTGGCGCGATCTCGGCTCAACGCAGCTCCGCCTCCCGGTTTTCCGCCATTTCTTCCTGCCTTCAGCCCCGAGTGCTGACTACAGGGCGGCGCCGCCGACCGCCCGGCTGTTTTGTATTTTTTAGTAAGAGACGTTCACCGCTGTTAGCCAGGATGGTCTCCGGTTCCTGACCCTCGGTGGATGCCCCCGCCTCGGCTGCCAAAGTGGCTGGGATTACAAGGCTTGAGCCAGCCGGCGCTGCCGGCGTCTTCCTTCATGCCTCTTCCTTGCGCTTCGCTTCGCTTTCGCTCTTGCCTCCTTCCTTCGTTTCCTTCTTCGCGTTCCTTCCCTTCGCTCCCTTCTTCGCTTCCCTTGCCTTCTTTCCCGCCCTCTTTCGCTCCCGTCGCGCTCCTCTTCCTCCTGCGCCTGTCCCTTCCTTCCGCTTTCCTCTTCCCATTCCTCCTTCCTTTCCTTCTTTCCCTTCTTCTTCTTTCTTTCTTTTTTCTTTCTTTCTTTCTTTCTTTTTTTCTTTTCTTTCTTCTTCTTTCTTTTCTTTCTTCTTTTTCTTTTCTTTTTTTCTGTCACTGTCCTTCTGTTATGTTGCTGTGGTGTGTGTGTGGTGTCTGTCCCTCTATGTAATTAGAGGATGGGGTCGTCAGCTATATTGTCCAGGTTTGGGCCTACGAACTCCTGGGCTGCAAGCAATCTTTCCCACCCTTGGCCTCCGCAAAGTGCTGGATTACAGGTGTGGAAGTCACACAACCTGGCTGAGGAGAACATTTTTTATTTTTTTTCTTAAGTAGATGGGGGTCGGGCGGGGGCGTGGCTTCACGGCCTGTAATCCCAGCATTTTGGAGGCTGAGATGGGTGGATCAATGAGGTCAAAGAGTTTGGACAGTCGTCTGGCCAAGATGGTTGGAACCCCAGTCTCCTAACAAATACAAATTTAGCCGGGCCATAGTGGGCAGGTGCCCGTAATTCCTCAGCTACAAAAATTGAAAGTAATTAGCCAGGGTCAGGTGTGGTGGGCTCACGCCTGTAATCCCAGCACTTGGGGGAGCCGATGAGCAGGTAGATCACCTGAGGTTCAGGGTTTGAGACCAGCCTGGCCGCGTTAAGTAACCCGTCTTAGCTAAATGGAGAGCGTAACATAAATTAGCGCAGGCTTTGCTTGGCAGGTGCCTGTAAATCCCAGCTACTCGGGGGATTGAGCATTGAGAATCGCTTCGAACCTGGGAGGCGGATTGCAGTCGAGCTGAGATCGCGCCACTTGCACTCCAGCCTGCGGTGACGAAGGAGTGGAACTGTGTCTCAACAAAATAATAAAAAGACGGGTGCGGTGCCTCACGGCTCGTAATCCACACTATTAGGAGGCTTGAGTGGGTGGATACTTGAGGTTCAGGAGTTTGAGCCAGCCCTGACCATGGTGGACACTCAGGGTCTCTACTACAAATACAAAAATTGGCCAGCGCGTGCTGGTCTGCATACCTGTCAATCCCATCGCTACTCAGAGGGAGGCTGAGGCAGGAAGAAATTGGCTATGAAGCCTTGGCGAGGCCAGAAGGTTCAGTGAGTTGGAAATCGTGCCACTGCACTTATCACCTGGGGCGAAGGAAAGACCCATATCTCTAAAGAAAAAAAAGGGGAGGCCTGAGCGGAGAATGGGCGTAAACCGGGAGGCGGAGCTTGCAGTGAAGCTGAGGATCGGGCCACTGCATCCAGCCCTGGCGATCAGAGCGCGGATCCGTCCTCAAAAAAAAAAAAAAAAAAAAAAAAAAAGAAAAAAAAAAGAGAGAGATCGGGGTCTTGCCCTGTCGGCCCAGGCCTGTGAGGGTGCAGTGGAGGTGATCTTGGCCTCACTGAGACTTTGACCCTCTGGGCTCAAGGGATCTCTCCCCTCGGCCTCCCAAGTAGCTAGACTCCAGGCCCAGTGTGGCTCTGGAGATATTTCTGGTTGTCACTTCTAGTGGGGAAAGGATGCTACTGACATCTCCTGGATGGAGCCCAGGGATGCCCCTGAGCTTTCTCCCGTACACAGACAGGACAGGCCCTGACACAAGGAGGTCACAGGCCCCAGATGCCGGCAGCTGTCCCCATCTCTCTCTTTTTTTTCTTTTTTTTTTTGAGACAGTCTTGGTCTTGTTGCCCAGGCTGGAGTGCAGTGGCAGATCTCAGCTCATTGCAACCTCCGCCTCCCAGGTTCAAGCAATTCCCTTGTTTCAGCCTCCTGAGTAGGTGGGACTACAGGTGTGCACCACCACGCCCGGCTAATTTTGTATTATTTTCTACATTTTGATATGTTACTGTAGGGAGGAGTTAAGAAATAGGCGCCAGAGCCCAAACGTTCAAGTCCCAGCCCTGCTTCTTCCCATTGTCTTTAGCAGATTCCTTCAACCCACTGGGCCTCAGGTGTCATCTGTATAATGGAGGCTAGTGATGATTTCTGCCTGATAGAGCTGAGGAATGGAAGATGAAGTCTTAATGGGATGAAGTAATTGACAAGACAGGCCGGGTGCGGTGGCTCACGCCTGTAATCCTGGCACTTTTGGGAGGCTGAGGCAGGTGGATCATGAGGTCAGGAGTTCAAGACCAGCCTGGCCAAGATGGTGAAACCCCCGTCTTTACTAAATATACAAAAATTAGCTGGGCATGGTGGCACGTGCTTGTAATCCCAGCTACTCGGGAGGCTGAGGCACGAGAATCACTTGAACCCGGGAGGCAGAGGTTGCAGTGAGCCAAAATTGTGCCATTGTGCTCCAGCCTGGGCAACAAGAGTGAAATTTTGTCTTAAAAACGTTGTTTTTTTTTTTTTAAAGAGATGGGATCTTGCCCTGTTGCCCAGGCTGGAGTGGTGTGGGGTGATCAGAGCAAGACTCCATCTCAAAAAAAAAAAAAAATGTTGTAGAAACAGGGTCTTGCTATGTTGCCCAGATTGGTCTTGAATCTTGGCCTCAAATGACCCTCTTGCCTGGGTCTCCCAAAGTGTTGGATTACAGTCATCACTGCACCTGGCATATCTGTCACCTGCTAACTGGCCCCAAACACCCTCGCACGTTCCTCCTGCATAGACATTGCTTACTCTCTGCCAGGCACTGCCTTGCCCAATGCACACACTACTTCACATGTGTATCAATGAAATCAATCAATCATGCAATCAACCCATCAAATGAATTTCACCTGTAACATAAATGATTGCTTGTAAGTCAGGTTTTGTTACTAATTCCATTGAAACAGAAGAGGAAGCTGAGGTGGGAGAGAGGGTAGTGAGTTGCCCAAGGGCCTGGTTCAGGAAGTATCAGAGCCAGGATCAGCCCCCAGCTCCACTAGACCCCCAGAAATGCCCCTGACCTTGTCCCCTCTGTCCCGTCCCCCAGCGGATCTGTACTCCGCTGAGCCTGGGGAGGAGGAGCCGGCGTGGGTGCAGACGGAGAGGCAGCAGTTCCGGGACTTCCGGGATCTGAACAAGGACGGGCACCTGGACGGGAGTGAAGTGGGCCACTGGGTGCTGCCCCCGGCCCAGGACCAGCCCCTGGTGGAAGCCAACCACCTCCTGCACGAGAGCGACACGGACAAGGTGCAGTGATGCGGCCGCGGCAGGGGCGGGTGGGCATCGCATGCCAGCCCCCAGAAATGAGTAAGACCTGGGCCTGGAGCTTAGCGTCCCTTTTAGGTGTGATAAAAAAAGAAGGACAGAGAGGAAAAGAGAGGGGGACAGAGACCCAGAGAGAGGGGGACAGAGACCCAGAGAGAGGGGGACAGAGACCCAGAGAGAGAGGACAGAGACCCAGAGAGAGGGGGACAGAGACCCAGAGAGGGGGGACAGAGACCCAGAGAGGGGGGACAGAGACCCAGAGAGAGAGGACAGAGACCCAGAGAGAGGGGGACACAGACCCAGAGAGAGAGGGGGACAGAGACCCAGAGATCCAAAGAGAGAAGGACAGGGACCAAGACAGGGGGACAGACTCAGAGAGAAAGGGACAGAGGCCCAGAGAGAAGGGTTCCAGAGACTTGGGGACACACTTGGATGCGGGGAGGGCTTTCGAAAGCAGGGCCGTGTTGTCCCCTCTGAACCCTGACCCTCCCTCCAGGATGGGCGGCTGAGCAAAGCGGAGATCCTGGGTAATTGGAACATGTTTGTGGGCAGTCAGGCCACCAACTATGGCGAGGACCTGACCCGGCACCACGATGAGCTGTGAGCTCCGTGCACCTGCCACAGCCTCAGGGGCCCCGCACAGTAACCCGAGCCCCGTGCACCTGCCACAGCCTCAGGGCCCCACACAGTGACCCAAGGAGGGGCTGCCGTGGTCTAGGCCCCTCCCTGTCCAGGCCCTGCAGGAGGCAGATGCAGTCCCTGGCATCCTCCTGCTCATGGGCTCTCAGGAACCCCTTGGGTCAGCTTCTGTCCCTGTCATACCCCCAACCCCGGGGAGGGGCCGTCACAGTCCCAGAGGATAAGCAACACCTATTTCTGACTGAGTCTCCCAGCCCAGACCCAGGGACCCTGGCCCCAAGCTCAGCCTCTAAAAACCGCCACCAACCCCTCCAGCTCCGAATCTGAGCCTCCACCACACAGACTGAAGCTCCCCTGGCCCCAGCCCTCTCCTGCCTGGCCCGGCCTGGGACACCTCCTCCCTGCCAGGAGCCAATAAAAGCCAGCGCCGGGACCTTGTGTGTCTGTGTCTGTCTGTTGTCTGCTTGTCTCTATGAAGGGGAAAGGGGCCCTGGAGACGGTTTGGGGGCTGTGACTGGGAGTTGGGGGCTGAGGCATGCAATAGGGGACCAGGCATTTGAAGCTGAGTGTTGGAGGGATTGGAGGGCGTTCTGGGTATAAAAACAAACATCAAACAAAATTGGGCCTGGCCCAGTGGCTCACGCCTGTAATTCCAGCAATTTGGGAGGCCGAGGCAGGCGTTCCAAACTCCTGAGGTCAGGAGTTCGAGACCAGCCTGGCCAACATGGTGAAATCCTATCTCTACTAGAAATACAAAAATTAGCCGGGCATGGTGGCGGGCGCCTGTAGTCCCAGCTACTCCGGAGGCTGAAGCAGGAGAATCGCTTGAACCTGGGAGCTGGAGGTTGTAGTGAGCTGAGATGGTGCCACTGCACTCCAGCCTGGGTGACAGAGCGAGACTCTGTCTCAAAAAAAAAAAAAAAAAAGGAAAAAAAAAGTCTGGCCTCTGCGCACACAAACAGCACAGGAAGCCCTGCCTCACAGAGCCCAGTTCTGTGGGGAAGAAGAGACAAAGCGACCTAAAATATGGCACGGCGTGACAGACGCTGTGAAGCAGGGAAGCATGTAGAGTGTGGCAATGCTCTGATGACTGATGGCCAAGGGAAAGGTCTCAATGAATAAATGGCGTGAGAAGGAGGAGCCACGGAGAGATGTGGAGGAGAGGCACTCCAGGGAGAGAGAAGAGCAATAAAATGGCACTGAGGCAGGAGTTGGGCCTGGTGTGGCAGCAAGGAGGCTAGAGCTGCTGGAAGGGCATGAGCCAGGGGAAGAAGGTCAACTGAAAGCAGATGGGGCATGCGGCCAGACTCTGCGGTCCCTGCAGGCAGGTCAATGGTGGTCCCTGTTTGGTGGGACAGACAGAGATGGACAGAGACCCAGAGAGAAGGGGATGGGGACTCAGAGAGAGAGGGACAGAGACCCAGAGAGAGGGGCAGAAAGAGAGAGGGAAACAGAGACCAGAGAGAGGGGACAGGCGACCAGAGAGAGGAAGACAGAGAACCCAGAGAGAGAGGGGACAGAATTTATTCTGAGTGAAATGAGAGCCGCTGGAGTGTAATGAGCAGAGGAAGGATTATAAACAGCTTTGAGTTATTTAAGAGTCGGGTTGGGCGCAGTGTTCACGCCAGTAATCCAAAGGATTAATCAAGGATTGTTTGAGCCCAGGAGTTCAAGACCAGCCTGGGATGATCTTTCCCATGAAGACGGCATCTCTCTTTTTCTTTCTTTGCTTTTTTTTTTGAGACGGAGTCTCACTCTGTTGCCCAGGCTGGAGTACAGTGGTGGGATCTTGGCTCACTGCAACCTCCACCTCCCCAGGTTCAAGCGATTCTCCTGCCTCAGCTCCTGAGTAGCTGGGATTACAGAACCGTTCTACCATGCCCAGATAGTTTTTGTATTTTTAGTAGGACGGGGTTTCACCATATTGGTCAGGATGGTCTTGATCTCTTGATCTCGTGATCCACCCACCTCAGCTCCCCAAAGTGCTGAGATTACAGGCATGAGCCACCGCGCCTGGCCACCAGCCCTGTCTTTAAAAAAAAAAAAAAAAAAAAATTAGGCCAGGCGCAGTGAGCCAAGATCGTGCCACTGCACTCCAGCTTGGCGAGACAGTGAGACTCCGTCTAAAAAAAAACAAAACAAAACAAAGAAAATTACATTATAAAAAATCCCCCTTATTTTTTAGGGTAGTGAAACCATTCTGTATGATACTGTAATGATAGATGGATGTCATTATATATTACACAAAACTCACAGAATGTACAACACAAAGAATGAATTCTAATATAAACCATGGGCTTGAGTTAATATATCAATATTGGCTTATTGATTGGAACAAATGTACCACACTAATGCAAGATGTTAGTAAGGAAAACTGAGGGTGGGGTGAAGGGGCATATGGAAACTCTCTGTACTTTGCACTCACTTCTTCATTAACCTAAAACTGGTCTAAAACTAAGGCTCTTTAATTAAAAAAATCATAAGGAACTAAGAAAAAAATACCTCCTTTGTAAGACTAAAGTCCCATAGGTCCATCCCCTCATATTTAATAGATTTTTTTTCCCTCTTGGGAAAGGAGATAGACATAACCCAGGGTTAGATTGTAAACCTGTAGACGGTTTGGAGAGAACTGACATCTTAATACTATTAAGTTTACCAATCTATAAACACGGTATATCTCCACATTGCTTTAAGTCTTTTAATTATCTCATCAATGTTTTGTAGTTTTCAGTTTGTTGTTGTTGTTAAATGAATCCCTAAGTATCGTGGTTTCTTCCTCTGCTATAGCAAATTAAAATGCTTTTTAACTTCATATTTCAAGTTTTTGCTTCCAATATATAAAATAGAATTATTTTGATATTAACTTCATATGCTGTGAACTTGCCAAATGTGCTTACTAGTTCTAGAATTTCCATGTTATTCCTTTTTTTTTTTTTTTTTTGAGACGGAGTCTCGCTCTGTTGCCCAGGCTGGAGTACAGTGGCCGGATCTCAGCTCACTGCAAGCTCCGCCTCCCGGGTTCACGCCATTCTCCTGCCTCAGCCTCCGGAATAGCTGGGACTACAGGCGCCCGCCACCTTGCCCGGCTAGTTTTTTATATTTTTTAGTAGAGACGGGGTTTCACCGGGTTAGCCAGGATGGTCTCGATCTCCTGACCCCGTGATCCGCCCGTCTCAGCCTCCCAAAGTGCTGGGATTACAGGCTTGAGCCACCGCGCCCGGCCTGATGTTATTCCTTTTTATTATTTATTCACTGACACTTCCTGTCGTTGTATGCATTATAAACATTTAGACTCTTTAGTATAGTTGTAATAGCTATTACAATAGCTTTGTGTGTGTGTGTGAGGCCTCATGCAGTGGTGAGAACACAGCTCATTGTAGCTTTGATCTCCTGAGCTCTAGCTATCCTCCCACCTCAGCCTCCAGAGTAGCTGGGACTATAGGTGCGTATCACCAAGCTGGGCTTTTTTTTTTTTTTTTTTTGAGACAGAGTCTTGCTCTGTCATCCAGGCTGGAGTGCAGTGGCATGATCTCAGATCACTGCAACTTCTGCCTCCCGGGTTAAAGTAATTCTTGTGTCTCAGCCTCCCAAGAAGCTGGGACCGTGGGAGCCCACCACCACACTTAGCCAATTTTTTGTATTTTTTTGGCAGAAACAGAGGTTTGCCATGTTGGCCAGGCTGTCTTGAACTCCTGGCCTCAAGTGATCCACCTGCCTTGGCCTCCCAAAGTGCTGGGATTACAGGGGTGAGCCACTGTGCCCGGCCATGCTGGGTTAATGTTAAATTTTTTGTGGAGAAGACATTTTACTATGTTAGCCAGGATGCTCTTGGAACTTCTGGACTCAAGTGATCTTCCAGCCTCAGCCTCCCCAAGTACTGGAATTACAGGTATGAGCCTCTGCAGCTACCCTATCAATGGCTATTTTTATTTTTAAATTAAACAAAAAAATTCTTTTTGTTTTTTGAGACAGGGTATCTCTCTGTCACCCAGGTTGGAGTGCAGTGGCAAAATTATGGTTCACTGCAGCCTCAACCTCCTGGGCTCAGGTGATACTCCCACCTCAGCCTCCCGAGTAGCTGGGACTACAGGCATGGGCCATTAGAGGCAGCTAATTTTTTGCATTTTTTTTTTATAGAGACAAGGTTTGTCATGTCGCCAAGCTAGTCTTGAACTCCTGGGCTCAAATGATCCTCCTGCCTCAACCTCCCAAAAGTGCTGGGATTACTGGCTTGAACCATTATGCCTGGCCAATAGCTACTTTTTGTTTGTTTGTTTGTTTGTTTTAGGTGGAGTCTTTGGATGACTAGAGTCTCGCCATCTGTTGCACAGGCTGGAGCTGCAGTGGCCGGATCTTGGCTCACTGCAACTCAACCTCCCGGTCACCGCCATTGCGAGCGGGAGGGCTGAACCATCAGCCTACAACGGTCTGGGACTAACACAGGCAACCACCCACCACAACCACGGCTAACTTTTATACACTATTTTTTAGTAGAGACGGGGGACCAGACGCGCGAGAAGCAGACAATATACACCACACAGGTGTTTAGCCAGGCATGGGGGGTCTCCGCATCTTCACTGACTCACAGCATACAGAACATACACCGATACTATACAAGGAAAAAACCTCCAATAGTGCTAAGGCTTGACTGGGGGCGTTGAGCCAACCGCGCCCCGGCCTCAGTTTCTTGAGTAGATAACTCA